CCCAGTTCCTGGATGTGCTCCTCGGGCGGCGAGCACCGGTGGGTTGTTCTCCAACAAAGGAATTGAAAAGGTATACAGTACGTGGTAGAACCATGTAGAACCCAAGAATCAACGGTGAGACCATACCTGGCAGGCACCAAATGATATGAACCCCGGAAGAAGTATATATATGAGAATGAGAAGTGTTATATAACCGGCAGCTGAGTGGACATTGCAAAGCCCAATGTCAAGGTATCAATCTAATTACTGTATTCTTTCCGGCTGCCTGGCTGTGCGGCGTCAGGCCAAGGATCTACAATCCGATTCTTTGCCACGTTGGCCTCCACAGTCTTCTTCACCTCAGCTTGCAAGTTCGTCACACCGAAAAGCCGCTTGGAATCTCCAAACACAGAAACTGCCAGTTGCTGTAGGGAGCGAATGATTCCGTCAGGCGGCTCTCTTTTAGTTTCGCTAGGCTGTCTCCCTTGCAACAAGAATCCTGCCAAGTGCATTCGAGTGGATGCACCATTCAATTGACCGGCGTGCAAAATATTCCAGTTATATAAATATAGGTAAAGATGGAGCCAGCACATGCATCTCCCAGAGGCTTTTGTTCTACTGCAGCTGTGCCATGTTTCAAACTGCTCCATGTCTGCCTGCTCAAGCGTTCCTCGGAGAGGTTCTGCAACCCGAACAATTTCCTGTGCAACTCACCAGCGAACCACTAAGCACCTGAGCACTGCTTTGAGCCCGGAAGTGTTGAGTCCAGGAGGCATTGGCGTAGAAGAGCTCTTGCGGTGGTTGCTTCCCATTCTCCTGGGGATTGGCTGGGGCTCTGGTCGGACGGTTGACCTGCCCGGTGGCTGGTCCAGGGAGATTCTCTGGAATGAGTGTTGGGGGAACAGTCGGAAAGCCTGGCTGGTGAGTCTCCGAGTCTCCAATACTCTGGCATTTGCACCTGTTTGTCCCCAAGAGGGGGCCCTCCTTGTTTGTGCGAAAATCACGCTAGTCGTAAATACCTTCAACTTGGTAATAAGCCTTATAATTGTATATACAGTAGTAGTGTTGAGCCTGGCCTAGCTCACTGCTACCATCCCTCTGTGCCCCGTGCGTCACGCACATGCCACATCCCCCAGTTCCGCCAGTCGTCAGCTTCCTGCCGTCCAAGCTTCGAAGTCCAAACCGAAAATGTGGCCAATGGTGGACGTCTGCAGAATGCGACATTTCCTCCGAGGGCGGTCCGGGTAAAAAAAGAACGAGCTTGGATTGCGGTGCCAACTCCGAAGAATGGTCAAATGACGGAGGATGCGTATACACATCGCGTACCTAATAGCCCTATACTGTGGCATGAACTAGGTAGCGTTCTGAAGGTTCAGGAGAAAGCATCCGGCCCCACTGGTCACTTAGCAAGAGCAAAGGAACCATCAGTAGCTTGTCGTGATCGTTAATGTTGACCCAAGCCCTCCCCAAATGCTGCATATTTCATCATTCAATGGGTGAGTGAAAAACGCCGGTGGTCTCGGACCCCCACCCAATATTCGCCTCCAAATCCACAAAAACTTGGAGATTTGGAATCTCCGCTCGATTTAAATATATATATATATATAACTGACTTTCCAGCCAAAATCTCGGCATCCTCAGCCATCCTTGATGCACCAAACACTCGAATCCATTACTGACCAACCTCCGGGCCCCTCCGACCTTCAGCTAAGCTTCTGCTGTGCCGGTGGGAACCAGGTCACAAACTCCATGCTCTGTACCTGAGCATCAGGTGAAAACGGTCGGCTCAAGGAGTCGGGGCGAATGATCCCGCTGTCCCATGAACCTCAGATCTGTATTCCCATATCTATCACACTTGGATATCCAATTTTTGAGAACTCCAAGTATAAGACATGTGCAACACTCAGCACTCACTTCTGCCGCCCGCACCATCTCTATTCATCTCTCATCCTCCCATCCTTGTCTTGACCGTGGCGCAGCTCGGCTCTGTCCCCTCCGTGGGCGCATGCGACCGCCAGAGAGGCTCTCAGCCACCAACTTGGCCACCGAGGGCTTCTCCTAGGGCTGCTTCCGAGCGAACGAGGGGGCAGTCAACAAAAAAGGTCTAATCAAAGTCACCCAAGCCAGAAGAGTCCAACCTAGGAGAAATGAACAAAAAAGTGGCCAATGTCTGAAGCGGTGACCTATCTGGCATTGTGACACATGACCTCACCTCCATGGGTCCATGACCAGAATGGGTCGAAGTTTGGCTCCATGGGTCCATGACACCAGCATGTTCAGAGGAAGCCAGGCCGCTGCAACCATGAGGACCATGGGCAAGTTGTCCCACTTGTGTTCATTGAGCTTGGCTTGCTGCTGCCGCCAGCGAGTGCCTCTCATCAATCCCGATGGATCCCCTCCCCACATCCCACTCAAATGGCCAGTGCTGGTGAACAAGGCAGCTTTCCGGGCAAGCCATCAACCTACGTGCATACTGCTGATGGAAAGAAATCTCCAAACGGGCAGATTGGTGATTCAAAAGCTATAATGAAGTTCTCTGCAAACCTCTGCGCATTTGTCTCAAAGATACGTTCCACCAGCTGCTGCATCTCCCCTGGAATGGGGCATCCAGCTTTTTCCATCACGGCCGCCATTCCAACGGCTTTGAAGGCATCTTCACCTGGCTGTGACGGAAATTCTCGGCGAGCTCATGGGAGTACATCCAGTATGTAGGGTGGAATTGAATCTTTCCCAAGCCTCATATTTAACAAAAGGGTCCATTAATTTGGGTGGTGCCCATACAGAAGACCCACCAGAGTACAGTATGCCTTCTTGATTCTTGGGAGTTTTGTGGTGCAATCGACATTGCAAGCATCAGGATAGCAACGGCATTGTGACAAAAGAACAGAATTAGGATGTCCAACAGACCTCCGAATGGGCACACTCACACGCATCTGTTTCAAGAGACAAGCCCCGCAAAAGGGGCCCAAGTCCACCCTAGACCAACTTGAGCATCCTTTGACCGACAAGGGGTCTCGCGTTGCTCTCGCGTGCGCCGTTCCCGCACCATCTCCGCGCCTGAGCGCGTGAGAAAGGTCAGGCTCCACCCCTTCTGGCCCGCACGCCCCGTCCGACCGATGCGGTGCACGTAGTCCTCGGTGTTGTTGGCCGTGTCGTAGTTCCTCGGTGCACGGGAGGTGTGGAGAGAGAGAGAGGGAGAGAGACACACGAGGTGAGAGGAACACACGGGTGCGGAGCGAAAAAGCAGTGCCAGAGAGTGCCGGAGTTTGGTGAGAGGCTTTGCAAAAATCGCTGCCTGCCCTGCTGGCCAAAAGTATCGAAGTACTTCAGTTGATTGAACATTGAGAAAAAAAAACGATATGATACACATAGTCATAGTAATTAAAAACCTTCGACCGGAGCTTTCACTTGGTTTCCTGCACATCAGGAAACCAAGCCCTGGTGGCAACACATGTCCATAGAGAACGTGCTCCCTGCGATCGCCTGCACCACATGGCACACGAACCCAAACCCTCCCTACTGCAGAAAGGCAGCAGCTCACTGACTCACTGCGAGATCTATAATTGTTGGCGGGATGGTGATGGCTGTTCAGTGGTCTAAGCGATCACGTGGTTCATCACGTCATGCGTTTTTTTGCCTTGGGCACGTGCTCACTAAGGCAGAACGCCGAGCGAAGACGTGCTTAGAGGATCTGAAGCCGTGGAAACTCAATGAATGCGAATGTTTTAATATTGTGATATATTGCAAGAATGCATCACTGGATGTTGGTGGCTCGCTCCTCTGGGGCGCACCCAAGAGGGAAAGAGGCAGGGACAAGATCGCTCAAGGACCGATCTATATAGAGGTATTGTGCGGCATTCCAGGAAGTTCAAAGGGTCCACCAATTGTGCCTTCTAGTCCACGCGTTTCAAGACTAGCTGACTAGCTCCCAGGTCTTTTAGCCAAACACTGGGGGACAAGCCGATCCTTGGCTTACACTCCGCACTGGACATTTGGGGACCCCGACTGGCTGGAAGCGATTCGGTGACGGCCGATTCCCTTTCCCCGAGACTGGGTAAAGGGTCGGATAACTGCACCGTAACACGGATCGACCCTGGCATGTCACGCGGGGAATGAAGCCACGAGTCAGATCCACTCAGGGTCAGAAATGCAAAATATGGTGAAAGATCTAAGTGCTCATGTTGCCTGGAAGTGCTTGCAGTCAAGCGTTTCAAAACAGGGACCCCTTCTGCGCCAATCAGCAACATACATGGAGCTGCAAATCAAAAGTGCTCAATTCTCTTACAATGTGGGTGCTTGGCGTCCCCGTTTTGAGCTACACACCTTTCTGCGTTGAAAAATTGGTAGGTGGTACCCCAATTTGGGGGCCCTCTGGTGAGACGTTCAAGCTCAGCCTTATTGGCCCAAGTCGTTCTTTTCTTCCTCAGTGGCAATCCGCGGCAGGGGCTTCTTGGAGCACAGACTAGGAAACAGCCGATCACCTCCAATCCCACCACAGGGATGCGATCCATAATGGCTGATCAAGGTTAAATAGCGAGATCAATCGCCATCAAAATGAAGTCGAAGCTGAAGCTTCTGCACAAGGACCGTTGGACGTTGGGACCGAGGCACCTGTAGGTTTGCAGACCTAAACTGCAGATCCATGCTTCAATTCAATGTCAACAAAGCTATTTGATGTAGACCTCAACTAGGCAGGACGTCTTCCTCTAATAAGAAAAGACCGCCATCTATGTCTATGAATCTATACTGGACCGAAGCACTCATGGGAGTCCGATCGTAAGTTCTCTTGCAATCAGCTTATGTGTTGTAGGGGTCAAAGCGAATTCTGGTGAGAAAATGATGGAAAATGGTTGAACTTTATCTTGCCGGGCACAAGTGGTGGCCGTGAAACAATGAAAAATGAAGGTCTGTCTGGCAAGTTACTTGTGCGACTGTCATGCACCAAACAAGAGGGAAAAACTCCAACCCAATCAACATGTTGATGACAAAAGCTTGCAACACCTTGCTTATTCTGGGCCACATCAGGGATAAGTGGTGACCCCTCCAAACATCACGGAGAACTTTGACTGCACTCCAAACCCACACCACCCACAAACCCTCAAGTCCGACCCAATGGGATGAACCCGCCGAGACGCGCTCTTGTTCAGCTCCTCGACGAACTGCGCCGCGTAATCCACGACCCGCACCGCCGCCTCGCTCCGGCGCAGGAACCGCTGGCAGATGTCGATGAAGCCTGCGGAAGCGCGTCGAACCGGCCGAAGGAAACTGGCTGCTGTCCGTCCATGCCGTCCAGTGGAAACGACATGGAGCAGGGCATTGAACCGGGACGGTAGCACGGTCCACGACTCCTGGGCTGGTTCTCGACCTCCCCAGTCTTCATCAAAGTTGGCGTGTGTTTGCTAGACAAATATGCTTAAAGGTCTTCAAGAAAAACTGTGGATTGTAACACTGGATGGGCTGAGAAAGGCCATGGGTTACATACCAACATTCAGAACATAACATAACATTCATGTTGGGCCAGGCCTACAGGGTTCGATGCTTGCATGTGGGGTAACGACGGTAACGCTACAAAGGCCGTGCTCTCCAGCTACAAAGGCCGACAGCTCTTCAACACTTTCTGTGGGAGAATGCTCCAAGTCTACGTGGGATTTGCAACCAACTGAAGTATATATATATATGACAATGAGTAAAAGGCGCACAGTTCCAGGGCGTTGCGTAGAAGCTTTTTTGCTGATACCCACACATCACCAACTTCGGACTACAAATGTGGCTGTGTCTTAGCCTTCGGTAAGGGACCTCTCTGCAAGCACCTGGCGGAACGAAAAGTACAAACCTGATTCTTGGACCAACTCATGCAACATTCTGCAACAAGAACAAGCATCACATGAACGCCCCGGCACACGGACCATCTTCTCCCTCCTCGTTCGCAGACATCTCCTCCCCTTGTTCGACCGTCTTGCATCTTCTCACGGCAGGTGGCCATTTGGGCCGGGGGCTGAGGTGGCGACCTCTCACGCACCACGTGCCCTGTCACGTATAGACCCCACGCGCCTTGCCCATCCAACATTGCCAGCTTGGCATCGCTGAGGCAAACCCTGGGGCTGGCAACTGGTTTATAAATCTGTGTGAGTGCGTCTGTGTCTGCGTCTCTGTCTGTGTGTGTGTGTCTGTGCCTGTGCTTGTGTCTGTGTTTGTGTGTGTGTGACTGTGTCTGAGTAATTGAGTATGGCCACATGTGACAAAGCCATTGACGGATATTCACGCTAATTTGGGGGCGGCGAGCCCCCTAGCTTCACGCATAGCGGAACAGCCATGACCCACAGAACCACTGCAGGTGAGGTAGCATCAATCAATATATATATATATCAATACTACTTCCAATAAGAAATGGTTTCGTTTTTGGTGTCTTTATTCTGCAGTCACCCATCCTTTCTTCAGGGATCCCTGCAACAGGTGATATCAAAGGCAAATTGACACTCATTTTAGCCACAGTTTGGATTTTGACATGACCAAGTCTGCCTCTAATTTCCTCAGTTCGTGCCAGGCAACAAGGTCCCACAGTGCTTCCAATAGGTCCACAGGGCAGCCTGCACACGAAATCTCCCCATGCCTGTCCGTGCCGTAGATACTGGATGTTGCTGCTTGGGATCCTATCCAAACAGGTTTCTTCTTTCGGCTGATAGTTGGGGGTTCTCCAAATCTGTCGATTTCCCCTGCGCGCAGTCCAGCACACCTGGACCTGGAGCGTGCCAAAACCAGGACAACTGCCGGCGTTTTCTGGAGGAAAGGACTGTTTGAAGGACAACAGCACATACGGTGCAAGAAAGTAAAGAGCCCAAGAAAGGCCCCCTCCCATAATTCAACGGAATCTATTCTTCAGTGCTGACTGGCAGCCCGTACTGTGCTGGAGCAGAACGGTAGCCCAACTGGAAAGAAATCCCCCATGTTTTGCTGTGCTGCTGTAAAGCCTCAGGTCTTCGTCACCCCAAGCAGCCCATGTCACATGGCTCATGGATTCCGAATCAGTCAGATCTCCACCTCCTCTACACTGCCAACATCAAAGGCTCCCAAAATCATTACAAGCAACCGATTCATGGCCGTCCCTAATGTCCTCCTCGCCTCGGCGATGATCTTGCGCTCCCCCACCACGGTGATCTCCCCATAGGCGTCGGTGTATTCCAAGGTCCCATTAATGACGATATACATCTTGGGTTCCTGCGGCTCCTCGCCCAGGTTGAAGATCACATCTGTGCCCGAGAGCCTGGGAGAAGAAGAAGACACACCCGGCGGTTTAGCGAAGGGAGTGGATCTAAAACATGAGGTTCTAGCCCAAAAATACTCTTCAACAACTGTTCAACAATCAAACGGTTCAAAAAATACTCTTTTGCCAAACCGCACCATCAAATGCACTCATAAAGGTGCTAGAACATCAAGCTGGAATATGCTAAATGATCTACATAAGATGCGTGTATTTCCTTTAGAATGCAAACTACAATTGAATGGGTGTCTCGTATTACTTAAACATATATTTTACATATATATATATATATATATACATACATCAGTGTGCGTGTGTGCGCGTGTGTCTGTGCGCGTGATTGCTGTAGTCTCTTGACACATATAAGCCCTAAATCACCACTTTTGTTTATGCACCGCCGCCGACGCGAAGACCGTTCAAGTGTCACATACCGTGGTTCAGGTCTCACATGGCGGTGGTTTCGGGCGGCTTTGGACATGTGAGAAGTCTTGATTCTTCCTAGACTCAATCTTGCCAGACGATACCACCGGCGTGCCCGCTAAAGGATGACACTTGAGACCACCTGTGGCGCCCGCTTCCTCTGATTCAAAGCCTGGGGACAATAGCATGGACATCGCCCGATGGCAAATGGGCCGCAACATCGGACTACTCTCCTGAAGGAGCTCGAGGAAGAAAGGATGGCACATCAGGACCTGTGAGTACATGTCCTCAGTGGCAGGCCATCCCAGGCACCGAAAAGCCTGAGCTTCCCGTCGTTTTGGGTCGTCTCAACCAGTTTGACCAGACAGGCTCTGGCCAACACACATACTCACCTTCTGAAACCATGTGCACGCCCGAGATGAGGCTCTTGGGAGCTTCTGGAGACTTAGAGGATCCATCTGAATCCAGTGTGGGACCCGAATGGAGTGGAAATGCCAAGCCTTAAGGCAACATGATTGACTGATTTGCAGCTTTGCCAGGTTCATCGGGTGTGTCTTTTGGGCTTGTGGCTGCACTGGGTCTCTTTCCAGATTTCCTTTGGCAGCTGTTCATCCCGTTCTTGGGACGTCTCGTGTTGTGGTGGTGTCGTGGCGGCGGCCGACATGGAACCTGCCTCGGTTGAGGAGCGATGCCTCGTCAACCGAGGCATCCGATATCAAACGAGAATGACCAAGGACTTGGAAGAACGATGGGTATTATGAAATAGGATGAAATGGGACTAATTGGCTCAGACCAGACATCGGGAACTGTTAGCACACCAACATCAGTAAAAAGGCATCCACCCTCTTTTCTCCCATACATTCTCCTGCAACTGATTTCTCTGACCTCCAGAACGTTGAGATGTTGCATGTCTTCTGGGGTTGACCTCCAGGCGAACCTGGTTCTCAGTAGTGCTGACATCTAGACAGCCAGCAAGAAGCTGGTGTATTGGATCCACGGAATCATTCACGCACATATTAGTGAATCTGGTCAAACTAGTCAAACTGAAGGCAACAAATATCAGTAACAGATCAGGAGCATTGGTGTTTCCTCTTGGCTGTTGACGAGGGGTGCCCCCGGGCTCCGCCAAGGGGCAAATGCAAGCTCTATCTTCAAAGGTTCCTGAGATGAGCCATGGGCCCTGGGCCAGCAAACATCCGTGTTCATTGGACCAGTGACCAGTGAAAGCCTTCAAATGACACTGCTCATGTCGGAAGATCAGGTACACGGAATGGGGCATTGCCTGGGTGTTCTGTTCACAGAATCCTGCATGACCTTGCATGTAGTTGGCGAAGGCCATTGCAAACTTTACTCATCAAATGAACGTAGCCAGCTGACTCAGCCAACCCACCTAGCTCACCGTTTCCTTGAAGCGGCACTCCAGGTTGGCGTTTGTTTGCTGCATACAGTTACGCTGCCTTTGAATGGGCACCCTATGGCACCCTCATCGTCTCAGAAGCCCAGTGATAAACTGTTCGCGAGCTCCTCCAAGAGGCTTGGCCAATACTTTCTGCCCCCCCAGACAGCACAGCGGCAATGAACTGTTTAAATCTCGGATTGACAGGTCATACTCCCATCGTTCCCCTTAAAGGACCTCCAAGCCGCCGAGATCACGTGCAAAAGCTCCACCGATTCCTCAGCCAAGCGATGCGGCTTATCTGAGACCATCTGTCAGCAGAAGGCCCTGTCAACAGAAGGCCGCGGTAAAGCCCATGTAAAAAGACCTGGACCTCCAATACGTGGCTTCACGAGCCTGAAGAATCACCAGAAACCTTTTTCGGAGAGGTCTCGGGGTCGCATCGTCTTTTCCAAGTGCTTCCTTTGGGGGCACATCATGGATCCAAAATGTGGACCGGTGTCGATGCACAATGAGTTCGGATGACTCCAAATGTGATGGCCTTGTCACCCTCACAGCAGTCAGAATGTGGAACACATAAGTCCTGGAAGGCTACACTAGACTATATATATAGTAAAAATATATGCGTGTGTATGTGACAGTATACATGTGTATATATATATATATTATGTGTGTGTGTGTGTTTTTAATGATAGTTTCTTCAGTCAATCTCCTACAACCCCGGGGTCAGATGACAACGATTCCACCTCAAACATGACGTAGGGTGTGAGTTTCAGTCTGACCGATACAGTAATATAGCAATAGTAGCCAAAAAGTGCTGACAAGCAAATCTGTTGGAGAAAAACGGTCAATCCTTCTAAATTCGGGGAGGCAAATCGCATCAAGCATTAAAATGCATTATATAATCATAGAATTGACCATGTTGCATCTTGGTCCTCAGTCATGATGTGCCCATCTCATCTCCAACTTTGCGCTGAGAGGCCGGAGTCAGATCCCCTGAGATGGCGTGCTTGGCATTCCGACAGACTCGCCTTGGTTCCGATGCCGTGTCCAAATAGAAAAGCCGCCCTCAGCCCCAAACCAATGTCATCTTCATCTATATATATATACACATATATTATGTTTTCAGGGGTCATTCCATGATCGCCGGAAATTCAGAATCATCACTCATCTTAAGTTCACATCATCGCATCCACTTCCGAACCGACCTGATGATGTATCCCATGCCTTCCCTGTTCCCACCCACACAACTGAATGGAACCCGTAACATCGAGACTCAACGAGGGAAATGGTGTGGTAGATGGAACCCTGTTAAACAGGTCCCGTTCGCGTCCGTCCCATGACCACACGCGGCAGTTTCTGTCCAAGTTACTTGGTGATGACCTTCGGACACGATAGAGAAAAGTGAGAAAAAGAAAAGCGGACAAAGCTCAACCGTGCTACTAAAATGGACCGTCTGCACCCTGTAGTCCCCATCAAGAATGTCTTTGCTTGGGGGTGTTCCAACCAACTTTCACTAGGACAGGGGCTTGTCTACCGGCATCTCCAGGCTCATTATGCTTGGCCTCTTGAGAAGTTCAATCCTCTTCCAGCGTTCCCTTCGGCGAAATGTCAGACTGCCAACGCGTGCCAGTGCACTAGTGCACTACATTCACGACATCAGGGCTGTCATGCTCAGCAATGTCAGTCTCGTACTATCTAGTCCCTATCTCCCGCTCCATCTCCTGCTCCATCTGCCCTGCACTCCTGCACCCCCCCCAACAGAAAAGACTTCAAACTCCTTCCCGATCGCCCCGGACCTTGGAGACGTTGTTCTGCTTCAAGTATCTCTTCAGCGTGGCCAGCTGTCTTGCTCCACTCCCACCAATGATGTACTGCTGTGTGAGACCCGAGGTGAAGACACCCATCATCACCTGGAGGCGCTGTGAGCGTCTGGCCCACCGGACCGTCTCGGGAGTCATGGGTTCCATGTGACCATGACGAAACCATACGAAACCCGACCCCAAAGCCGCAAGCTACTTGAAAACCACATGTTGAAGGTGTCCGCGGTGCCTGAAGAATACCCACAGCTTGGCAAACCTTGACATTGGTCCCCAGCAAAGATGCGAAATGGTCCCCGCCCTCTCTCTGGTTTGAAGAGAATTGTCCTTCCCGTGCACCATGTGATGAATGTAGTGCCGAAGCAGTGATTTTCATCCAGTCTTAATTACCCTCTTGAATCAAAGTTAGTGACCGTCCTTGCAGCAGATTCCGCGGACATTCCAAAACCGTCACTAGAAAAGTTATGCACTGGATTTGTATTTCTTAATGCCAGGTTCCAAGTGCAGTCTGTCCATTCATCTGCAAAAACAAGCCTCACTCATCTTCTACCAGCGCCCTCTTCCTGCCTCCTAATTACTCACATCTCCCCCCAAACCATCTCATTCCTAGCATCCAACTTCCCAAAGACACGCCCTCCTCCTCGCCGGTGGCCCCCCCCCGCCAGGGCGATCACGAAGATCAGCCCGCCCACGGCCACGGCGAAGAGCCGCTCCAACGGACTGGCCGGCGAGATCTCGTCCATGCCGCCGGAGAACCTCGGCCGCGAGGCTTCGGCTTCGCTTGGCAGAAGGGATCGAGAAGGTGGGAAGATGGAGAAGTTGCTTCTGGTGGATGACCCAGGATGCTTCGACAATTCTTGAACTGCCGAACAGGGCTGACATGGTGAAGATTGTTGAAGCACGGGTGATGAAGGTTGTTCACATCATCAGATTGCGCAGAAATCATCCGCCACTTCAAATGGCGTGGAAGCCACCTGGACCGCGGTTCGGCTCGCAAGGGCGAACGGTTTCAATCAGTTAGGTCTTTCCGCTACGCTTGGACCTCAAACGACCCATTTCGTGAGACCTGCGAGTGACTGGGCCCCTCTTCCCACTCCAATCTCCAAAGGAGCTGGGACAAAGCCCAATGCAAAGAAGCCAAGTACTGAGCGTCAACTCCTGGAGCAGGTCTGGTGTTGAAAGAAGTCTTTTAGATTGTCCAACTCCGGCACCTGGCGCGGTTCCAACGAATTCTATTCTTAAACCTTTTTGATTCTAGGTCAGGTGTCCATGTGGTTGTTTGAGCCTGCTTGATTCTAAAAACCAATACAGTATATGAATCAAGCAGGATTGTGGCTTGATGCTTTCGATGACTTCCGCTCAGACCAGCCGGTGCGTCCTCCCAGTCCGCAGTCCTTCAGCTGCGTACCCTCCTTCAGCAACCCAAGTCTTCTCGGAGGTGGTGCGGTTGCCGATGGCGAACCAAAGGCAGCCGGTGAAGTGGGACACCTGGGTACCCCAGTGGCAGCCGGACTGGGGTGCACCAGAGAGGCGGATCCCTTGTGTCAAAGGAAGAAGTCCTAAATAGAAATTCAAATAGAAGAAGGAAAAAAAATGTAATTATGAATGTGCTATATATGCACATGTTGTTGAATATGCTTTCGTGTGTAATTATATGCGTTAAAATTATCCATGGATCATAAACAGTAACAGTAAGATCAGTTAGTATGCAAGCATCAACTGCAAACAGCTTCAGCATTTTTTGCATCAACTCCTTGAATTCTAATGTTGGTGGCGTAACATCTGCAATTATATCCCTAAGCTTCCAGCTGTTTGGGAATAGCACTGTCACGGTTTGACACAATAGTTCCAGATTCCCGTGTCACATGTGCAAAAACAAAGGTATGATATATGTTGAGAAAATCAAAGGGTGATACCAAATTTGAAACGTTGCATGATTGCACCACTGCCGCGCTCATAGCCACACAAAGACATAGCGGGACAAGGCGGGGGAGAAAGAGTAAGCGGCGTGGCCAAGCAGGGGACAAGGTCTGGACAAGGCCTTGGGCCATGCAAAAGGGCCGACAACACGGACAAGCAGGACAGCAAGGCTGGACAAGGCGGCGCTGTCAAGCAGACCGACAAAGTCTTCACAAGGACAACACTGGGCCCACAGCAGCGCAGCGGACAAGGCCTGGACAAGCCCCGGACAAGCCGGAAAAGAAAAGCTCGTGGTGCGGCCACAGCTATCATGGTTAAAGTTAATTACCCATTTCTTTCTGAAACTGCTTGAGGAACAAGAGGACACAGGGTTCGCCAGCAGGAGGACACCAAGAGGACAGGAGGAGGACACAGCATTCACAAGCATGGCCAAAGGACAGAAGGAGACCAAGAGGAGGACACAAAGTACGCAAGCGTGGCTAGAGGACAGCAGGAGGACACCAGCAGGACAAGAGAAAAGCACAGGGTTCGCTAGTCGTCGCAATCATCGTTGTGGTGGTCGTCCTCACCGTGGGTGGTGGTGGCGTCATTCCTATCCCTTCGCCGCAGCCTGAACCATGACAAAATCAGATCAGCTTTGGTGGACTGGTGGGCTATGGTTCTGGTGCACCTTTGATTTGAGTGATGTAAGGTGAAGGAAGAGCAAAGAAAAAAACACTGGAGGGAGGCCTCTGGAGGCATCAGTTGCATTCTGATGATACCTTTTTTGCAGGCCAACTGGCGAAGACACAAAAAGACATCAATTGAAAACCCTATATTTATATAAATCACAACCTCCCAAAAGAAGTCATACGACCTCCATCTCCCACTCGGTGTTGCTTAAGAAGGTGCTCCAGAAAGAGAAACGGGGCGGCTCCGCCGACTGCTTCATGTCAAGGCTCAGCCAGGAGGACGATCAGGACTTTGCCTGGTTCCAGCGACCGAAATGGCTGGACAGTGTGGAACACTTGCAGCAGGACATGAGTCACAGCATGGCCGAAAAAAGCACAGCAAAACACGGCATAGTGTGCAAATTTCAAGAATATGTGAGAAGATCTGAGAAGAATACAGCAACTGCACTGATGTGTCACATGTCAAATGTGTGCAGCCATGCTCATGCAGCTCATGCAGCTCAATGAACAACCGACAGTGGGTGATGCTAACTTTGCGGCCCACACTGGCTCACTCTATGTTGAAGATGTAGGAAGTGGACTGTAACTTAATATTGACTGTTGACTGTCGATTTGATTTGATTCAAAAAACCCTTTTGGGGAGACTTTTGCCCTGCACGTAGGTAGGGAGGTTTTAATAAGAAGCAGTCAGCATTTACTGTACATGCATTTAACGCAACGTGTTTCTCTCAGAAGTTCGCAAGAATCTAGAATCTAGAGGATGTTCTGGTCATCTGCTTCAGGAGCTGCAAGCTTTGGAGTCCCGTCTTGTGATTTTTGCCCCGACTCGGTCTTCGAAAGGCCCTGAGGCCCCGGAGAACCTGTTCGCCCATCCAGCGCCCGGCCGAACCATCCAGACAGACCTCATGCGGACAAGCGGACCGGACGTCTTGGAGCCACGTTGCTGACTTGAACCAAAGGCCCCAGCGTCTCGGACTGGATGCGTTCCGTGACGTTGGCCATGATCTCCTCAGCGAGGACCGGGAGGTGTGAGACACAGCTTCAACGAGACGGCCACCCTGCCGAGCAAACTCATAGATCAAACCTGGATCAAGAATTTTGCCAGATCCAAAAGATTCCAAAGGGCCGACCCTGGAGGACAAGGGGATTCGTTGATCCGTCTTTGTCATTACCGAGTGGAAAACCGGCCCAATTGCAAAGGAAGATGGTTGGTCCAATCCAAGGCCATGCTCCACGTCCATGATTGGAGGGAGCTTCTATGCTTACTTGCTGGTCAAGTGTCTTGCATGCGCACCAGTCGAAGCAACCGCACAATTCGAATGATCCGCGTGGTCCTCGCAAAGCTCAGCATGGCAACGCCTCCACCGAGGCGTTGGAGCAGGTCACGTCACGGAGTCCAAGGGTTCAAGGGAACATACCATCTACCATCTACCGGAAAACCATCACGTTCAGCCCCGAAACTATGGGCGCTGTAGAACTGGCCCTAAAACCAATTCTGCGACAGCAATGCTTCCGCGAGTCACGATGGGCCGCGAGGACTCCCGGGGAGGTTCCACCGACCGACGCCTGCCCGTTCCATGGTCCGCCGACCGACGGCTGTCCATTCGACCAAATCACCAAGATCACCAAGTGTTTCGGTTGCGACCAACCAACGATCGCTTTCTCCGGTGCCTTTCGGAACAACAGGTTTTGGCGTTGGTCGGCGATTCGAATTGATTCGACCCTGGTGGAGCAGAATCTTCTCACATTTCTCACCACACGCATGCATCTATTCGCCGCGGCCACCCGCGGCCACCACTGCAACGAGACCTACCACTGCGGCCTCCTGAGGAGAAGACCACCTCCGACCAGTCAGACAAAACGATGACCAAATCCATCGTCAACCAGGTCTTGGCATACCGCTTCAGGATGGTCCTTTCGCGGCCGTTGGAAGCGTCCAGTGCCCCTTGGCTTTCTTCCACCGGTGACCGCCAAGGCGGAGGTGCTGTTTGGCCCAGAACCGGAGATGATGGAACATCATGCGGCATCCACTTAGAGTCGTAGCCAAGAGTCGCCCACGTGGAAACCTGCTTTAAGCTACAAAAACAATCAAAAACATATGTCCGCCCTGTCGCATCCTTGGGGGGCCACGGGCACTTAGAGATACTTGGATCGAGTAGCACTCGCCCCCTCACGCACGACCTGTGGACCGGGGAGCAACTCATAGCAAAAATGTAGACACCTGATAAATTCGCTCATTTGAGATTCAGCAACAACTATTCATCTATATATTACATCTATAATAGGGGTTGGAATTAAGTGGGTACCTCGGGGGTAGCGATTTTATAGTGCTAAAATGCTGGGACCAACCCCCCTCCAATGAGGGTCACTTTTTGACCCTATGAAATTGAGGATAACATAGGAAAAGAGTTCAAAAACAAAGATTCAGCTCTATAGAGTTGAGGGCCATCAGTCTATCAAAAGCTGTAGAAAGTTGTGAATATTGATGGTTTTTGTCTATAAAAATGCAGGTCCCAAGGTACTCCTGAACAGGTGTGCTTGAGTTGTAGTAAGAACCTGGTTCTCTATAGAATCAAGGTACATGGGTCTCACAAAAATGTAGTAAGAACCTGGTTCTCTATAGAATCAAGGTACAGGGGTCTCAAAAAAACATTAAAATGCAACTTTCTTGGAAGGCATTGATTTGCCAGTTGGTAGGATGCATTAGGATTTTTCAAAGTGTTTCATATAAAGCGTTCACTTGCTAGGATGCTCCAAATTTGCTAGCGTCATCCTGACTCATCCAAGATCATCCAAGAACCCATTCCCCAGGGTTCGTTTGAGCAATCCCAATTGCGTACTCTCGGAATCAGGCGAGTTTTGAACTGGATGCATTGAAAACCTAACATGCAAAACCATGCTAATAATTCTCTATAGAATCAGTATGCCTGAGACATCCAGAATCCCTTCGCTATACTTATAAGCCTCTATAGAATCAAACTTGTAAAAAACAACAATTCTCTATAAAATCGAGGATCTTGAAGGACAGGACTTTACAACCTCCATATGAGCCAAGAAAAAGTTGCTAAAAAAATCGTCTTATCGGGGTCCCAACTCCCGCGATTCTGTAGAGAAATTCCATCCCCTATCATCTATATATATATATGTGTGTGTGTATGTGTGGGTGTGTGTGTGTGTGTTCTTGTCATCATGGAGGTTAATGATAAAGTCTACATTACTGGACCATGCGTTGATGAACAACACCCTGCATCGCGAAAGTTCACATCCACACGAATAGTTCATATTATGGATACATCGAAGCTTGCCAATAGTGGCCTTTGGGATTGAGCCATCTCTTGAGGGACGTGATAGGATACTTCATTCTTTCTCATTTACAGTATATACCACACGATATCTGCTGACTTTGGCCCCAGGATCTTGATGTTGTACTCCACAGAGCCATCAGCCATCACCTCGGCGATGACTCTATCGCATCTCAGGTGTGATCACCTGATATAAAAGTGAGGATGAACCCTGGAATATCCTACATATTCAGGAGAAACAAACGTGGTGCCAAGTACTCTTGACATGTTTCATCTGTCTTTGCATGGCGACTGATGTCTGAAGTGTGGCTTTGGAAGGCCAAAAAAGAACATTCTAAGACGGTATGGATTGTGCTTCCTCTCGCCGAAAACAGCTGAGGTCCTCACCACCCCAGTGAAGCAGGAGAAGAAAATGTCCAGAGTCCAAAACAGTCGCGTGGTCCACCTGGAGCGTGGGGATCGATGGTAGCTGCTTGCCAAGGCTGGAGGGTGCCCAGAAGGACGAGGTGGATTGCGAGAACCCCAAAGATGGAGATGCTTCACATTGGCGAGTTGGCAGTGCAATGCAGTGCATGTTGCAATCCCTTCTTTGCTGCTCCAGTCTTGGCTGCCCCCTCATTGCTGCTGGATGGGGCACCCAGAATCGACTCCAGTGGTTCCTTTGTTCCAGTCGTTGCTGTCGCTTCCATTGGTTCCCACGGCTATGGATCCACATCCTGCTGTTCCCTCGCTATCCTGAGAGTTTCAACTCGTGCCCTAGTCAGGTGTACATTCCGAGTCGTAGCCGGAGATGTATGTTGTTACAACACGGTTCCGTCTAGGAACGTCCCGGATCACGAGATATATTTTGTATAACCTATATGACAACCATGTACGAGCTTCTTCTTGAAATCCATGCAGGTTCCCCTTGCTAGCTCACAGACTCCAGCGGCGACCCTTTGCAGTGATTGGACAAGACGTGGCACCGAACTCACCCAAGATCCCCAAGAAATCCAAAAAAAAATGTATAAAGCCGCAAAACCGGAATGCCGTTCAACCAACATTTGCATTCACATGAGGCTGAGCAAATACTCAATGAATGGTTATAACTTATAACTATAACACACTTATTAATCACCAAGGTGGCACAGGAAATCAGGGACGACGTAAGTGTAGTGCTGCAGGAAGTTCGGGTATCGGACAATCAGGTAACGCTCTGAAGGTCCCTACGCACTCAGGCTAGGCCGAGACAAACAATGCCAGAGTCCTTGGCTGAGAGGGCCCTCCTTTGGTCAAAGAGGAACCCGTTTCTCCGAGCCACTCCATAAAGTCCAGGAAGAGATTCTCTGGTAAGGTATAGGCCTGCCTTGGTGTAGCACACGAGGACCGACAGATGGTGATGATGAGGATCTTGGCATGGTGAGGATGAGGATGATACCGTTTTGACCAAAATCGTCATGAACCACACAGCATCCAGCCAATCAACCAGCGAATGCGTCAACGTCACCAAAGAACCTCCAAAATGTGCTTTCCGGTTGTCTTCAGCATCGATTGATGTCGACAGACCTGCAGGTCTGTGCCGCCCCTTGGGGAGCGACAAACAATGTATACTATGAACAATGTGAGCAATGTCCAAGTAGAAAGCCCATCTGCCCATCTGCTAATCAAAGGGGGTGCAAGCATCCAACAAACTCATACAACCAAAGTTCACGAACGACACAGAGTGACTCCACTTGGCTGGGATAAGCAACTTACAGTACATAGCGTGACCACTTCCCTTGCCACCCACCGAAGGAGGTTGCATGTATGGTGTTCAGTAGAAAGGCAGATCGATTTGATCGATTCAACCCATCTGTCGGGCTGTTTGGACACCTTCATGCACACCATCCCAGGTCCCATCTAGCCGTGGGATCAAAGCCCAAGGACGCGGATCCGTACCCCAAAAACGGGCATAGGCTATAGGGATGTCCACATGCTTTGGGGATCTTTGGTTTGTCGTCCCGCCTGAGAATCACCCACGCCATGGGTAAACGGAACATCTGCCCTTCCGAGACACATAGGAATCATAACCTGAACCAGAAGACAGAGAGTCAAATGGAGGGGGCGCTTGTGATCGGTTGAACTGCTCAGAATGATGAAGCCTAACAGGTTCAGAATAGAATAGAAGTACACTGTTGTACACAGTGCAGTCGTGATCCGGTGTGTTATTCGTTTGCAGGTGTGTCATCTGCAGGTGTGTCAGACCTGAAGTTCCGAAGTGATTGCTCGGGCATCACAGAACACATTCACACTTCTGCAACAGTCTGATCCTAAAGATAGTGATGTTCAGCTTTAGGCACTGGGAATGCGGCCGACCCAAGATCTCGACCACTTTCAAACGACCCCACCCCTTGGGCTAAAAACCCTGCTACAGGGAAAACCCAACCTTGACTGTTTAAAGTGCAAGCACTTGCCATAAGGGATGAGCAGTTTTGAAGAAACTTCCGTGATAACTGAGTTATATACCTTCGACCCCTTTCACCGGTGCCTCCCACAGCTCCCTGCTTTAATATATGGCCAAAAATCCATGTCGTACAAGACCATGATGAGGCTTCCAAGGTCCCAGCTGATCCGAATATTCGAGTCCGGATTCCTGAGGACCGTCCAGGCGAACACCTTCCTCTCTCTCACTCGACGCTTGGACGAGCGGTGACTTGTCTGGAGTGTGCTCAGTGTAGGGACGGACCGGAATTCTTATGGACACCCGACAGTTCCTGAATAGAGGGCTTGCAAATGGAAACAAGCAAAGCGGATGTCTGTAGTCCACAGCAACAACTTGAAAGGTTGGAAGGATGCCAAAAAGAGATGTATACAAAAGAATGAAACCTGTGTCTAAAGTGGGGTGAATGCAGGAGTGTCAATGAGAGATATGAGAGGATACATGGAGGCCTTAAATTGTCGCTGGTCGGGCAGGGCACAGGTGTGAGGCGCGGTGTGAGCAACATTTCTGCACCTGATCCAGCATATCGCTTAAGGTTCCACATCAGATCTTTGATACTCCCAAAGTCCCAAAGCTTCCTAAATGATGACGTCAGCCGGGCGACAAGATCCACCCGTGCGACACCGGCTCTTCATAATCGTCGTCCTCCTCCCGGAAGGGCATCGAGCTCTCGGTCTCTGCTTGGCTCCCACGGACTTTCATCTTCTTCCTCGGACCGGAGACCGGAGTTGCGGAAGGGGACGCTGAGAGGGATCATGCGTTGGACCCCCCCCCCCCCAGATCAAGGAGGCATCTCCTAGCCTTTTGGTGCTTCTTTGGAGTTCTCGGAGCCCTTTTGGGCAGACAAAAGGCCATTCAAGAGCCATACAAAAACTTCAGACACCCAAACAAAACTGCTTGGGCTGTCTAGCTGAACATGTTGAGGAACATAAAGCAGCTACGTTGGAGTCTGGCTTGGTGTGTTCCCCAACAACAGCGGATGATGACTTCCTGGAACAATGGCGAGTCCATCTGCGAGAATTCCTCAACCCCATTGCCATAGATCCCACACAGTATCGGCGGACACTGTTTACATAAGGTCATAAGGGCATAAGGTCAAACGGGATGGGCTCACGACCGAAGGGCTCTCTCTCTCTCTCTCTGCTTCCTCTCGGTCGGTCGGACGTGTCCTTTTGGGAGCTGTGAGGCTCGCTCTGCAAAGCGAAAATCCTTCTGAAATCTTGGTCCTGCTCCGTCTGTGCGTCTTGTTGGGAATGAAGGACCGGTGCACATGCCAGTGTCAGTCTATACAGATTTGCTTACCGATCCAAAATCGCTGGTCTGGGGTGACGGGGTGCTACCTCAAGACCGGAGACCGTGTTCAAAACCGATGCTGGGAGAAATTCGCTTTTGGTGGGCAAAGTCGGGTGGGTAATCAGGAGCCTGGGCCGTCCACGACCAACGACACGTGGTTGGAGTCGTTTCGGCTCAATCCCGAAACATCACCGCTCGTTTGGTGGACGGTCATCCCGTGCAGCAAGGGCCCCATTGGGCCCCAAGCAAACCATGTTCATCCAATTTCATCAAGGAGTCATCTGCTTGGCGCTGGTCTTCCAAACTTCTAGCATCTCCTTAGCCAAACACGTGCTATACTGTGTGTTTTTCACTGCTCAGCATATCAGACCCTGTGTGGCACTCTACAGCTCAAGAGGCGCAAGAGGCAGGAAGCAGCCCTTGTAAATCATGTGAGCTGCAAAAGCTTGTGAGATATCTCTCAATGGAATCACGTGAAATGAGGTGAACTTCCGCTTGGCACCATTCAGCGCCATTGGCCCGCCCAAATTCCAGCAGGGCGTCGTATTGAGTCTTGAGCTGGTTCTATGCTTTTCTTGAAGTCACAAAGCCCAAAGCCTTCACAAGGAAATTAACGGGGAACATGAGGGATGTCTCTTGCTCCTAGAGGGGCTTCTCTGATCTCCAGTCTTCTTCTCTGCTCTTGCCCGGCCATGAATGAGCACCTCTGTAGCGCCAGGCCGTGGTTGGACAGAACCTACGGCTTCTGTTGAGCCGCGCAGTAGGAGCATCGATCTACACCATCCAAAATTGCTTTGAATCACAACATGCTTTGTCCTGTAGTGGATCGGACTTCTTGCCAAAAAAAGAACTATGAAAGTTGCCTTTAGGATCCTCAAGGCTTCCCATGGGCTTCCCTTTCGTGTTCGACCTCGCCGCACATCGCTCGCCCCAAAAAATCCGAGAGCGTCGAAATCATCCTCCTTTCCGGTCTCTTCGTTCTCTGAGTCCGAGTCGTCGTCGTCCCGCGGGGCCTGAAACGGGCATCGCAGGGCCCATCAAACCCCAGAGTCGTCATCGACGTCCGTTTTGGGGCCCCGAGCCATGGATGTAACTCCACGCTTCGACTTATGAAAGCTTTCAGATCTGAATTGGTCAATCTGATTTGTCAATGTGCTTCATTGTGTATATCTCACTCTCTGATCAAACACCCAAACAGAAAAGAAAACCTCAAGAACATGTTATTGAAGCTGTCTTGGACGGACCAATACCATCCAACCCAATTCTCACTCCTTGACCGAAGGCCCATTGCTCGACATCCGGCCTTTGGCTTCTCTTCTCCCGGCACACCCGGCAGCACTGCCAGAGGGTCCGTTGGCGCGCTGGGGTTCCGTCTGCCCTTTCTTCCGGCACCTCACCACCAAAGCACCACCAGCAGCAGCACCATCACAAGAACAACATGCCGCTTTGTCGTGCATAAAACTGCACCATGTCCAGAGTGCACGTATTCGGGACGCTTCTGTTGCCCTCGGGCAGATGCTAAACCTATCATAGGGAGGCACATAATAGAGGTCGTGCAAATGTCTGGTCATGTAGATTTGATATTTGGCCATGTGCAGCCAACTACTGCAGCATTGAGTGAATTCGACCCACGAGTGTTGGCCAGAAAAACAAATCAAAGATTGGCTGCCAGCCTGCCAGCACCTGCACTTTCATGGATGACAGTGGATGGGTTGATGAGGTGCCCTGAGGCTCAATTCCATCAGAACTCGGTAAGAACTGCATGATGCGGACTCTTGCTTGCTATGGCCATCATATCAACAATGATTGGCAAGATCGACTCTGAGGCTCCTCGTCTCTTTATAGCCACTTTTGATATGGAGAACACCCCACCTGGCGAAGGATCAATGGGGCTCTGTGCCGGCAAAGGTTTCCTTGGCTGCGAAGTTAGCGGCTTCGATCACCGCAGAAGTGGCCAGAAAAAGACGATGCCTGTTCACGGCAGAATCAAGGAGTCTTTCTGGAACCTGAAGATCATAGTGCATGCAAGATTGGTGTCAAGGATGTTCAAGTGGATTTGGGATTAACTGCTCTTCCTATTTGGAGGTCACTATGACGCAAAACAGCATATCTTGGACCCAGCACAATTGGCCGACTTGGCTCATCTAGCCTGGGCCCAACAGGTTGCGTTTATCCCACCACAGTCTGAAAGGCCGTACGGAGGGACCAAATGGGTGGAACTCCACAAGCACCAAGCGTCCATGGCTCAGCAATCTGCATGGCAGAAGCATTGGGGACCCAGGCCATGAAGGCTTGCCAACTTCCACCTGTCTGCATGATGCACAACAAAAGTTCCGTGGAGCGCATCTGTTTGTGTTCACACGCTGTCTTAACGCTGTTTTGGTGTGGTGGCCCAGTGGTGTGTGTGTATATATATATATACATGTGTGTGTGTGCCTCTTTGCAGTTTAGATGTGTCTGTGTGCGCGCACCACTCCACAGACCACCTGAACCAGGCTGATGGCCAGAGCCCTAAAACAGATTGCGTCCCGCGGTTGTAGTTAGGTTGTTCATC